GACCCTGTATCTACTAATGATGGGTATGCCCTCAGAGACAGCTCAGTGCTGAGGGGTGGATAGTGAAGCACTCCCAGAACCCTGTCCTCAGAAAAGTCCCCAGATCCTGACATTGCCTAATGCCTCTCTGATTATCACAAGTCCTGCTCCCACTTCACAGGTGAGGGAACTGAGACTTCAACCACATAGCAAGCAAGAGTCAGACTGGCACCAAAGACCAGGATGCTGCCTCTGTGTTTGGCAGTCTTGGGGCTCTGAGCATAGGTATCATGCTCTCTTATCTCTAGACTGTGAGGAAACAAGGAGACCTGTCTAGAACAGGAACTCAGGCAGGACCCTGGGGAGGGGGAGGGTCCACTGAGGTGTTCTTAGACATATAGGGCCAGGGAAAGGAACCACCGTCCTTTTTTTCCATGTCTGGAACTCCATCCCAAAACAGTGTCGATTCAACCCCAATAGGGTGATCAGGACCACACGCATTGAGAAGGGGCATACTGAGCCTGTCACCATGTATTAGGCAGTGAGGCTCACTGTGGCACTAGGCCAACTCTGTGATTCCATGTGCATGATTTCTGCAGTCATAACTGAGTTCTCAACCTAAGGCCAGAGGGAAAGAAGCAAATGTTTTACTGTGTAGACAGCATAAGTTATCATTTGACTGCACTGTGACTCATAGCCTAACTCAATTGAAAGTTGAAATTAGTTTAACTCCATAAAAAGTAAGACATTGAGCTGTGACTTCCTGTTCTGCCTCTAAAACAACATTGTCTGTGGTTTTTGTTCTTGTTGTTGTTAAAGCCTATCACTTTTCAGAACTACACCCATCTTCAGGCAATTAAGAGATTGTGACTATAAGGGAACTTCAAAAGTTCATGGAAAAATGGAATTGAAAGGTAATGGGATTTTTCTGTGAACTTTTTAAAGTTCCCTTGTCTAAGTTTTGAAATCACTCAACTAACCCTAGTGAGCTGGTAGCATAGTGGGACGAATCAGGCTGCTAATCTCAAAGTCAGCAGATTGAAACCACCAGCTGTTCTTTAGGAGAAAGCTAAGGCTTTCTGAACCTGTAAATATTTACAGCCTCAGAAACCCTATACAGGGTTGCTATGAGTCAGAACCAACTCCATGGCACACCACCACCACCACCCCTGGAGAGAAGATTGTCTGTCTATCACTATGCAAAACCCCAAACTAGCTCTGCCCTCTTAATCACCAGTCTTGAGGTGTACCTGCAGGTAGGAATATCCTGGAACTTGACAAAAGTCTGCGCAGTGACATTCAGCTCATAGATGACCGAGTTGATGATATAGGAGTCATTTTGTACTTGCATTTCAACATCGTAGCTGTGACTGTTGGCGACGGCGAGAAAGATCCTCTCTCCAATGTGGAACACTTCCCAGTCTGCAGCACCAAATGTCTAGGACAAAAGGAAATCGATTCAAAGAGAGACTGTAAGACACATTAGGCACTGCTGTGTGGCTACACATCTGGTGCTCACATGTAACTCGGCAACCCTGCACATCAGCACCCTTTGTGGTGTCAGACCCCATCCAGTTTCCTTTGATGTTTCCCAGCTTCATTGATGACCACTCTTTATGACTGTTAATGCCAGGATGCTCACATCTGAAAAGATGGCATGCATGCAGTACGTATTAGCAATCTGTCCCTCCCACCTCACTTCCCTCAACACTTTGCATCCTGCAAAGTCCAACTGGTACAACACCTCTTCCAGTCCCGGCTCGGAACTCTGAATCAAAGTCTATGTACTGCTTGTGTTCCTCACTACATGTTGTCCCCGAACTTAGGGATTTGGCTGAGTCTTTCCTTTGTGTCTTTCAACACCTCCCCCTACAGGGGTAAGTAAAAAAGTATTCCTATAAAATCAATTAAACAAAAACATCAAACTGTCAAACTGTTGTTTCCCAATATACCCTTCATCTAGATCTAGATACTTCTGAAGGTGCTATTTGCAGCTCTCAAACACTTACTTCCTTGAAGAATTCTGTGTTTTAAATTTACACATGGCAAAACAGCAGTTTTGGCATTCTTCAGGGACTCAAGTCATGTTCTTTTTCCTTGAGTTTTGGAACCAAAAAGAAATATGAATGGGCAAGATCAATGCCGTAGGGTGAATGGGGTAAGGTGTCCTAAGGAAATTCTCACAGGACAGCTCTTCCTACCCACGAAAAATGAGCAAGTGCGTAGTTATGATGCAAAAAAAGTTCTTTGACCAAAGTTTCCTTAACTTTTTGTCACCAATTCAGTTTTTAATTTTCTTAGAACTTCTTCATAATATTTCTGTGTGACCATGCTGTGTCCTTTGAGAAAACCTATTAAGATGATCCTTTTGGAATGGCACAAACACAGTCACCATAATCTTCTGAGCTGGTTTGAATTTAACTGGTTCAGCTGACCCTGTCAGAAATCATTATTTTGATTGGACCTTTTCTGAAGGCACCCTAAGGAAACTAAGTTAATAGTATTACTGAGAGAACTTGTCTGCAGTCATCCACTAATAACAGTGGCATATTTAACTATGTTTTGTTTCGAATAAACCCATGCATGCATGAACTGGAACCCTTGTAGCAATAGTTTTTATTTACCCTTGTACATTCAATAATATACAGCACATATGGCATGAGTCTCTTTATTTGAAGTGCTATGATAGGAAAAGCTATCATGTAATCATGGAAATCAGGATTGGAGTTGTCTGAGGGGAGGAATATAAGAGTATTGACTGCAAAAGGGCACAAGGGTACAGATCTTTCCAAATCGGTTGGCCAGGTAGCTGTCCCCCCAAATATCTTGGTATAAACAAGTGAGTGTGTCAACAGATGCATCAGTTGAAATATTTCAATTCTATCTGAAGACTTGTTTTGAAACTAAGGAAAAAAATCTATATGATCCCATTTATAATGCTGTTCTACAATTTTAGGCTGAACAAGTTGTAGAATTCTTCAGTTTCATCATCAGAGTTGGTGCATAACTCTGAATAATAGTAGTATTAACTGGTGTTAGTGAAAAATATTAAAAGTACTAAGATCTATCAGAGAACAAACAAATCTGTCTTGGAATAAGAGCGAGGAAGGTGAGACTTAGTCTCTAGTAATTTGGACAGTTGTCCGAAGGAACCAGAACCTGGAGAAGGACATCATGTTTGGAAAAGTGAAGGATGAATGACAAAGGAAGACCCCCAATGAGATGGGTTGGCACAGTGGAGCAATAATGGACTCAATTGTAACAACAGTTGTGAGGATGGCACAGGAGAAGAATACTGAAGGGCTATCAGAAGACCAAACATGTCTGTGTTGGAAGAAGTACAGCTGGAGTGGTCCTTAGAAATCAAGATGATGAGACTTCATCTCTCATACTTCAGACATGTTGTCAGGAGGGACTAGTCATCATTATTGGTAAAGTGTAGCATCAATGAACATAACAATTGTGAGGATAGCGCAGGACTGGGCAGTTTTCATTCTGTTGTGCCCGCAACAGTCTCATCTACACCTAACAGCTGAGCCTTCACTTTTCTATGCATGATGTTCTTTTCCAGGTACTGGTCCCTCCTAACAACATGTCCAAAGAACAAAACACCAAGTTTTTCCATACTGGCTTTTAAGACACATTCTGGTGGTACTTCTTCCAACACAGATTTGTTTGTTCTTCTGACAGTCCATGGTACTTTCAATATTCTTCACCAACACCATAATTTAAACGCATCAATTAATCTACCATCCAATTTTCACATGCATATGAGGCAACTGAAATTACCATAGCTTGGGTCAGGCACACTGTGGTCCTCAAACACCTTACTCTTTAATACTTTAAAAAAATCTTTTACAGCAGATTTGCCTAATGCAGTTGTCTTTTGATTTCTTGACTGCTGCTTTCATGAGTGTTGAATATAGATTCAAACAAAATGAAGTCTTTGACCAGTTCAATCTTTTGACCATTTCAATTTTCTTCAAATTGACCACTTCAATTTTCTCCATTTATCATGATGTTATTTATTGGTCCAATTGTGAGGAGTTTTGTTTTCCTTACACTGAGGTGCAATCAATACTGAAAGCTGTAGTCTTTGATCTTCAACAGTGTTTGAAGCCCTCTTCACTGCCAGCAAGTAAGGTTATGTCATCTGCATATCACAGGCAGTTAATAACTAAAACCACGTTCTTCTTCATATTGTACAGCTTCTTGGATTATTTGCTCAGCATACAGATGAAATAAATACAGTGAAAGGATTTAACCCTGGTGCACACTATTCCTAATTTAAAAGCATTTCGTATTTTGTTCTGCTCACATGACTGCTTCTTGGTCTATGTACAGGTCCCTCATGAGCACAATTAAGTGTTCTGGAATACCCATTCTTCACAATGCTGTCAATAGTTTGTTGTGATTCATATTGTTAAATGCCTTAGCACAGTCAATAAAGGACAAATACATCTGGTATTTGTAGCCAAGATCCTTCTGATGCCAGCAATGATAACTCTCATTCCTTGTCCTCTTCTGAATCTGATTTGAATTTCTGGCAGCTCTCTTTGGTGCAACTATTTAAAAAAAAATATCTTCAGCAAAATTGCTTGCATGTGATATTAATGATGTTGTTTGATATTTCTGCATTCCACCGGGTCATCTTTCTTTGGAATGGGCAGGCGTATGAATCTTTTCCAATAAGTTGGTCATATAGCTGCCTTCCAAATTTCCTGACATAGACAAGTGAACACTTCAATTATTGCATCAGTTTGATGCAGTTGTTGAAACATTTTCATTGGTATTCTATCTATTTCTGGAAGCTTGTGTTTCACCAATGCCTTCAGTGCATCCTGGACTTCTTTCTTCAATACCTTTGGATCTTGATCATATGCTGCCTCTTGAAATGGGTGACCAATGACCAGTTCTTTTTGATAAAATGCCTGTGTATTACTTCCATCATCTTCTGCTTTGTATTCCTCCCATCATCTTCTGAATCATTCAATATTTTGCCCATAGAATCCTTCAATATTTCAACTCAAGGATTGAATGTTCCTTCAGTTCCTTCAACTTGAGAAATGCTGAGTATATTCTTCCCTTTTGATTTTCTAACTCCAGGTCATTACACATTTCATTATAATACTCAACTTTGTCTTCTTGAGTTGCCCTTTGAAAATTTCTGCTCAGTTCTTTTGCTTCTTCATTCCTTCTAGTTGTTTTAGCTTCTCTATATTCAAGAATAAATTTCTATCTCTTCTAATATCAATTTTGGTCTTTTTTCTCTTTCCTGTCTTTTGGCTTTCTTCATGGGTGATGTTCTTGATGCCAAGCCACAACTTTGGTCATTAGTGTCTACTATATCAAATCTGTTCTTGATTGGTCTCAAAATTCAGGTAGGATATAGTCAAGGTAATATTTTGACTTTTGCAGACTTGTTTTAAGCTTCAGCCTGAACTTGCATATGAGAAATTGATGGTCTGTTCCACAGTCTGCCCCAGTCTTTTTTTTGATGATAATGAGATTCTCCATTCTCTCTTCCCAGATATAGTCAGTTTGATTCCTGCATATTTAGTCTGGTGAGGTCCATGTGTATAGTTGCCATTTATGTTGTTTAAAAAAGGTATTTGCAACAAAGAAGTCATTGGTCTTGTAAAATCTATCATGTCCAGCATCATTTCTATCACTTAGGCCAGATTTTCCAACTACTAACCCTTCCTCTTTGTTTCCAACCTTTGCAGTCCAATCACCAGTAATTATCAATGCATTTTAATTACATGCTTGATTAATTTCAGACTGAAGATGTTGATTGAATTCTTCAATTTCATCATTACTAGCTTTAGTGATTGGTGTATAAATTTGAATAATAGTGCTATTAATTGGCCTTCCGCCTTCCTTGTTGTTGTTGTTAAGTGCCATTGAGTCACTTCTGACTGTTGAGAGTTACTGAAGTGTGTGTAGTGGGTTTGAACCACTGACCTTGTGGTTAGCAGTTCAGTGCTTATCCTATAGTGTCACTCAGGATTCCTGGCTTTCCTTGTAGGCATATGGATATTATCCTATTATAGACACCATTGTACTTCAAGATAGAGCTTAAATTTTTTTTTTTTTTTTTAACTATTCAAAATGGTCATTTCAGCTCACTAAGGCTAAGGACATTGCTCTTTATGTGTTACATTTTATTTATGATCAATTCCAATTTGCTTAGATTCATACTTCATACATTCCAAATTCTAATTATTAATGGATATTGCAGCTGTTTTCTTTTCATTTTGAGTTGTGTCCCAACAGCAAATGAAAGTCCCCAAAGCTTTGCTCCAATTATATCATTAAGGTCAACTCTACTTTGAGGAAGCAGCTTTTCCCTAGTCATTTTTTAGTATATTCCAAACTCCGACACTCATCTCCTGGCACTATATCAGAAAAGATTCTGCTGCTCTTCATGAGATTTTC